CCTACGGCGCAGCGGCGTGCAATGCTAATGTTGGCGTGCCGGCGTAGTCTTTTTTTCCCCTCAACGGCGTACAAATTTAATATAATACAATCAGAAAATATCGTCGTTAAGTCTCTATTGTTTATCGGATAACTTAACAGTTTCATGATCTTTTTTCCAACCAAATCAAGTATAATATGTTGCATGCAGTGGTTTCATATTTGATAAAACACTTCCTACTTAGTATTCCTTATATAAAGAATACTAATTGGTTTTTGAAGCCGTTCAATACACTCGCGACTCGTGTTTTATTAGCCGTTTTCACATTAGAAGACGGACAAGTCGTCTAGACGAACAAATCGTCTCAAAATCGTCTTTTAGTCGGACAAATCATCAGATGTGAAAACGTGTCGAACAAAATTTTAGACGAACAAGTCGTCTGAATTTGTTCGACTGCTTGTCCGTCTGTGAAGACGATTTTTGAGAGACGATTTGTTCGTCTAGACGACTTGTCCGTCTCTAATGTGAATAGGGCTATTGTGTCTAAAACCCCTCGCGCGCAGGGCCGTGCCGACCGGGGGTGTTTGGGGTGTAACACCCCCCCCCCCCCAATAATTGCTCATGTGGGCAATTTCAGGTAAATCCAGGTAGATTTGCAGAAGAAATTCAGGTAAATGAACACAAATTCAGGCAATTTCTAGGCCCAGAGAAAGTTAATTAACAAAAATAAGTGTGAATTTGGAGAAGAATGAGCTAAATTGACAAAAATTTTAGAGAATTGTACCAAATTTTCGGATTTAAGAAAAAAAAGTTGGATAAATGGAGAAAATTTGGTAACGCCGGGAAAAATTGTTTTATACAACGAAAACTTTTGAGATGTCGGGAAAAATTTTTGACCCTTAAAATGGCACACTGACCGAAATTTTTTTGGCGAGGGGGGGGGAGGAGGTCGCCGAAAAATTTTGCCAAAATATAGATTAATTGAATCTGGCAGTCTGACGGCGTGTGGCGTGTGCGAATTTTCCAGCGGCGGAACTTCGGCGTGCACTCTACATGGAATGCACCCTGGCCAGCTAGTACTTACCACTATATTTTGAGGGAATAACAAAGAGACTTTATAGTATTTTATATTTTGTACTAACTTTATATGCAAAAGCTAGAGGTACTCAAGGAAGCTCATTCTGCTGTCGGAGTACCTTAAGGAGTTTTGAATCACTATGATTGTAGTTCTTGGGTGGGGGTTCTAGTTAGTGCAGGATGATGCAACCACTGTAGCTAAGACTAAGACAAATAAACCTCGACGTTTCAGCTGAAGAGCTTGGGGCCTTTATATTTGTTCATATTTTTTAGCTTTTGGTGTACATACACATAGGATTATGGTTTCTGTAACTTCTAATAGTTTCTTGATAAATATAATTCTGAAAAAACAATGTATTTTCAAGGGGTCACTCAACTTGCCAACAAAGTTCGAGCATTGTCTGAAAACCTAGTATATTTCTTTTGTATTCCTCATTTTCCCTTGATATGATTTTTCATACTTTTTCTCTTTTAGAGTAACCTATATAATCTATTCTTGTTTATTGCAGAATTATTTACCACCACAATGATGCAGTTGAAATTGTATTATTTTAATTTAAATTCTTCAATGAATAATTATTAACTACCAATCACCAATGAGTCATTCCAGAAAAGATAAACACTAACTCCACAGATATGTCTGAAGTGCTGTCTGAAGTGGGCAGAACTCAACTGCTGATAATAGTAAAAGTATTAGCTAAGGGTGTCCAAAAGTGGGAGGAAGCTGAACCTCCCATCTCTTCCATTAGGTGTGGATATTTCTTTGAATGACCCAATCAGTTTGAACTAACTGTATAATCAAGTTATTCTAGTATAATTATCACTTTGTAGTCCCATGAGCTGTGACATCACTTTGGCTGTTTGGCATGTTTATCTCTTTTCAATTTTCTTTTGGTAGCGATAACAGATTACTACTACAGATACTGTATTACTACACATTGTTACACCCAAATAAGATCATATACATCAATGTTAACTATCATGATACAATACATCTGTTACAGGAAGAACATTTTTGCTTCAGTTCTTGTATAATTACATATCACTTTGATGCCTGTAATAGAAATGAGAAATAAAGTTACTTTGTTTATGATTGTTTTATTCTATGGTGTGAAACTGTTTCATATACATTTCAAAATTAATTGCAATGGGTGCATACTGTAGGTTCTGGCCAGTTAGCTGAGACCACCACCCCTACTTTGCAAGTTACAGCTGTGGCTGGATTGGAACTGTTAGCTCTTGTGCACCACTAATCTTGTATAAATCTGAATTAACCCATTAAGCGCAATCGCTCTCCCCAATTGACGAGTAAAATTATCTGGTGTTAGACAGAGCAAATTAATCTTGCGTTAGACAGAGTAAAGGGCGCATCAGGGTGCAATGCGACTCATAACTAGACACGTAGGCTAGTTATTAACCCATTAAGCACCAGCACTCTCTACTTGATGAGTAAAATCATCTGGCATCAGACAGAGTAAAATAATAAAGTAGGGTGCAATGTGACTCAATGGGTTAACCTCTAAGGGACCTAAATAAATATGGCTAAACATAAATCAAGACTCCCATGACAGAGGTATTTTCTGAGTGAAGGAGGTTTTTTGTTTGGAGATTTTTATGAGGCATAGAGGTTGTCAGGTTGACCCATACTAGCATTCAAGGTAATGCCAATGCAAGAATGATATAAGTATAAATCATGCAAATTTGGGTATGCACAAGTCGATGATAGCTCGATGCTGAACTGAAATGTAGTGCACAACCCCACAAAAAAAGCCTAAATTACAGCCAATTGGTAAATGCTGATACAAAACCTAGCAAGACTAGCAGTTTATAATATTTGTGAAGGATACAATACAGCTTGTTTATACTGTATATAAATCTAGTGCTAACTGCTCTTTATGAAACAAAGCAAACTACAGATTGCATGAGCAGCATGCTGTTTAAAGACTTTAAACTAATAAACTGGCACTAAAAACAAAAGCCAGTGCCTGAAACTAGAAAGAAAATGTATGTACACAATGTATAAATAACCATGTACAACGTTTTTTATGTCTGCTCCAGAAATATTGGTGTAAATATAAAATATAAGTGTTTGACAAATACATATTTATACCTCGATTTTATACGCATATCGGCCCCTGACTTTGCCAATCGAAAATTTGTCGAATAAAAGGTAAAAACTTAAAATTTTCACAAATCTTACCTTTCAGAAGAAATATTCTTCCTTTTAAAGTCTTTACAGCGAATTTTTGCATCCACAAGTGGAGAAAAACGGCATGATTTTGTCTTGAAAACATAAAATATTTGTGCAAAAACAGGGGGGCGAAGGTCTTTGTCGGATGCTTAGGATCGCGGTTGGTCAGTGGTAATTGCCATGAGCCGGAGGAACCATATGGCGTCAGCAAACGTGAAAATCCGCCATGTTTTCGCGGACACTTTTTTGACTGACGAGAGATAGGAGCACCTCCTCCAGTAATATTATAGCTCAGTGGTCTATACTCTACATATGCCCTACATATTTACTTCTCTATCTTATTGGCTTCCCGCTGATACCACACTAATAAAGCTCTGGTCAAACGAGGGTAAGAGTTAATGAGAGTTGGCAAGCGAGAGTTTGCATGAGAGTTTTCTCACGTCCCATCAGTCCCATGCCCCACGGGCAAACGAAAACAAGAATTGCATGAGAGCTGACGAGAGGCGAGTGGATATTGCCACGCACGTAGCGAAAACTCTCATCAACTCTCGGTCAAAATTTGAACCATCAGCATGCAGCTTACAGTTGATGAGAGTGCATTGCATGAGAATCGAAAAGTGTTGGGGATCAAACGCGAGCGAGAGTTATTGTACAACTGTTCTCACAAACTCTTATGGCTTGTTTGATCTACAATCTTGGCAAAAAGTTAATGAAACACCTATAAAAAATCAATAAAACAGACAAAATCCTCTCCCCCCTGCACAATGTTGGACATAGATTCTAAAAAATTGTGTACAATAGTTCATCGATGGCAGAGAGCACTATGTGTAGGTTTCTTGCTCATCTTAATCAACATTAGAAGGGGGGAAGGGGGAAGAATAAATTAATTTGTTAATCAAACTGGATGTTTCATTAGTTTTTGCCAGGATTGACCAGCTATAGGGCTTAAAAACTGAGAATTCTAAGACAAGGTATCTATAAAATTTAGATTTCACACAAATCCCTGCACCTGGTACCAACAATGGGTTCAAATATCCGGGATACATACCAATTTTTCCATCAAGAGCATGCTTGAGCCTTTCGACATTTCATAAATAGCATTGATAACTTCACCAGATGCTTGGCTGTAATTGCCATTGTTTTGAGTCATCAGTGACATCAAATAACGGTAATGGAAAAGTATTATATCTTGTCGATCTGAAAGCAAATGAATTTAGTCCATCTATTGCTGGCAATCAGAGACCGCGGAAGCACCTCGACAGTGAAGGGGTACTGACCAGAAAGGGCACTTGAGTCAGCAAACATTCTAAATATGTTAGATGTCTCCTTAGAAGGTCTAAAGGTTTCAGGACACATGCAATATACAGCCTCTGATGTTATACGTATACTCCAAAGGCCGGCGCACACTAGTGCAAGTTGCACGCACACTTGTCATTCTCGTCATTCGTGATCAATTACGTGTGACAAAAATCCTAGTGTGCGGGGAAAATATTCAGGATTTTTGTCACTCGTGTCGTGAACAACAAATATAAAACATATTTTTGTCATTCGTGACAAAAATTCCTAGTGTCCGGCAAACAGCTCATCACAACTCTTCGCAGCAAAGAAGTACGCATGCTTGATATCACGTATTGGGGGAATATCACGCATATCATTATGTTGCACAATTTATGGAAATTAGACCCCCCAAGGCCCCCTCCCAAAAAAAATAAAAACTGTTCCGTTGCCATTAATTATGACCATAAACACTTAAGGACAAACTGAATAACCAGTGGAGGAACTAGGGGGGGGGGGGCGAGGGAGGGGGCGATCGCCCCCCCAAAAAAAAAAAAAAAAAATTACTAAAATTATATTTTAGCTAGATTTCATAATTCATTTTGAAAAATGAAAGCATGATATAAGGAAGCACTATTTGTTACAATAACAACAGCAACGAAATGGCAAGTTTTAATAGAAACAAGCTAAAAACAAGCTAAAGTATTCTAAATTTATGATCTCACAAGTCACACAATGAGTGTTATGAATTCTGAAAAAAGTCAAATTAAATTAGTTTTAAGCGCTAGCTGCGCTACAAGTCTTTTCTTATAAACTGTACTATTCGGGATTTTTGATTTACCCATCGATCAAGCACTTTGTCCAAGTTTATCCTTTTTAACAGGTCTTTATTCATGGATAGCAACACAAAGTCACTGGCCAACGCTAATGCATGCATGCTTCAAACTTGTCAAAGCCAAAGCTGACATTTCAAACGAAAACAAAAGCGTGAAAAGGTTTGACAAAGTCGGTGACGACTTGGGGCAAATCGACTTGGGGGCGAAACGATTTGTATTCATTATGACGAGCCCAGCTCAATATCCGATTCATAACACTGAAGCTTCTTTCCACGGTTGCAGTAACAACTGGCAAGGTCTTTGATATGGCGATCACCTTGAATAAGTTGGGGTACAGCTCAGGGTCGATGTTCTTTCCGGCAGCAATTAGAATCTTCGCCCGTTCGCACTCGGTTTTAAGCAAGGCAGAGTCAATATGGAGACTGTCACAATACCAATGAATGTAACTTTAATCGTGTCCAGTTACGTCACTCAGAATATAGACTTATGATATACATGCATATATAATTTTGAGTATCTTCCGAGTTTTCATAAAACAATAGCAATTAATTGTATCAAATTTACTACGGACTATACAGTATCTATTCTATAGGTAGGAATTTTCAGGTGTTCTTTCACTTCTCTGGTTTAGATATTTATTACGTACTGCAAGTTCAGGTTACCGTTTTCTTATGCTTACCACATGATTTATACCAAAATGCACCATTAACTTAATGTTTTGAAAACATGGAATTTCTTACAAAATGTGCTCTCAGAATGCTGCAAATGCCATTTCAGGGATCCAAATTTTAAAAATGCCCCCCCCCCCAGACCCCCCTACAAATCTCGTGCCTTTGGCAACTGTGAATAACCAATAAATTAAATGTGAGGATGAGAGTTTTCAATACACGTGAGGTAAATATTCTCATTTGACAGTCAGGTACGAGAATTGAGAAACTCATGCAAACTCTCACTTACCAACAATCATCAACTCTCACCCTCCAAGTCTAAGAATTAGAACTTCTCTTTATATTCTTCAGGTAGTTTGGATCCAAGCTTGTCTGTTTGTGAACAATATATTGAATATGTAGTTTTGAACAAACATGTTCAGTAGCTGTGCAGGAGTTGGTTTCTTTCTTTGTTTCCATCCATTCCCTCTTCCCTTGTTTCCCTCTTTCTTTCCCTTCTTCTTTCCCTTCTTCTTTCCCTTCCACCTTCCCTTTTTCCTTTCCCTTTTCTAATATAGACATGCACTGAAGGCGAGACATAAAAAAGTGTCCCTATTAGACAGATTTCAGATTAATAGAGGGTCTTCTAAAAGAAGATATATTATGCTGAGGCGCTTATTACCAAAACTGTGGAATGATGCTTCCTCTTCGATGACGCTTCGATCCTCTCATTTTTTTAAGTCATAACATTCAGGAATATGACTACATTCCTATACACAAGTCCTAAAACTGCTAAACATGACACTGTTACAGTATATTAAATTGGCTAATCTCATTGTAATTACTGTATCTCGCAGACCAACCAGATGTTGCCATTCCAAAGATATATAAGATCATATAAAAAAGCAGTCATCTTGCTACGGCCACTACAGGGCAATGACTGAAACCTGAAACTGCATGTGATGTACTGGTACAGTGTTTGTGCTTTAAACTGGTGTGCATCACATAATATACAACATTATACATGCATGATTATAGCAAACCAGTGATCGATCACCTGCACTTGGTGTGATTTGAGACTGAGCTCAAAATTCATGTTGAAACTGAGCTAAAAAAACGCTGATCGTGATTCCAATCTGAATTCAATTATATTTTATTAGAAACTTCCAGGGAAACGTTAGAACTGCCTTTATGGAGTTAAATGAGAAGCCATCTTTCCAAGTGGGGCAAAAAGGAATACTCATCCCAATGGGAATACTGGTCCCTAGGGTCATGGAAATGTTACCCGATCTAAATTGTGTTTGCCCCACTAATTGGCAAGATGGAGTCAGAAACCCTGCCATTGAGTGGCAGCACTCTAGATCTCCCCTGACAAGTAAAATTGTCTGGCGTTAGACAGAGCAAATGAAGTAGGGCGCAATGCCACTTAAAGGGTTAATGCGCGAATCAAATCAAAACCTTGACACACACACCCCTGGCATATGGATTTTGACGTTTTGGTCAGGTCAAATTCACATATATTTGTAATTCCCATTCAAATACACCACATATTGTGAAAAATTGGAGTTCAAATGCCCCACCCCATGTACGAATTGGAAGCTACAGCATTTTGTAATTTTGGAATTACAAATTTTTTCTTTCCTTCAGAAACTCTCTTCAATCGTTCAAAGTCATTTTGTTGTAGCCAACCAAGGACAAAGTTAATTTCTCCGCACTTGAACTCATCCATTGTCACTGACGCCATTTTGAATTCAGCACACAAGTTTTATAGAAAAATTCAAATTCCCGACCCCCTAAACAAATTCCCCACCTTCCACTAGAAAAAAAGGTCAAATTCCTGCCTTCTTCAAATACTAAACAAGCAAATTCCCCAGGTATGCCTGGAGGATTTCAAAGTTTCGATTAATTTGATTTGCGCATAACAGGTGCATGGGAAGATAGTCCAATTAACCCATGCATTGAGTGGAAGCACTCTCCCCCTGACAAGTAAAATCGTCTGGCGTTAGACAGAGTAAAATAATAAAGTAGGGCGCAGGGTTAATATTATAATGCAGATCTTTATGAAAAAAGTCTATAGGTGGCCTATCAGTGCCTTTAATTCCCTATGGAAGCCCTTAGGCACCTATAGAGCTATATATAGGCTTATATCCAATTGCCTATAAAAGCAATAGGTTTCCTATAGGAACATAGGTTGGCCTTGGACTTTTTTGTAAGAGAAGCAAAACTTGCTGTTTATATACAGAATATGGATTTATATAATCTGAAATGTTCCTCTTTTGAATAGTGCGTTGAATCGAATGATGTATAACATGTCAGCACACAAGTGACACAACCAAAACATCAGAAAATAATTGTCACGTTCGCTATATGCATACAAATTTATACAATATTAAATATTCACTTAATTTGCATTTATTAAAAGTATTCTATTTATAACAGATCAAAAATAGCAAACTGTATCTCACCTTTATAGATTTTCAAACGGTACAGGTTATTTCAATGTCTAAATAAACCATTTCTTCGATACCTCGGCTCATAAATTCTGTGATATTAAAAACAATCGCTATTGTAATACTAGACGGTAACAACTTCGGTATTTCCGGGTTCAAAGATCAATTCGAAATCTGATCGGTCATATCGTTGCACCGATTGTTCGAAAGCCGGTTAGCTTATATAAATCCTGGGTTAAAATTTCAAAGCAAACTTCCCAACAGCCTGTTCAGAAACACGAAGACGTTTTCCACAATTCTTGTCTGGAAAGTTTTATTTTCCAACTCAGAGCATTTTTTAACTATATAACTGGGGG